AATGCTTAGAAATATGAGTATGATCTTTGAAAATCACCTTTAGTCGTCCATATATATTATTCGAAGCTACTAAGAGAAAATTTTATAAATAAAATCTGTTAAAATAACACTCTGAATAAACTCAGAATAATGTAGCTAATTATGTGAAATTTTCGGTTGCTGTGTTTATTTCTTTTTTACTGAATGTAAAAGTCGCATTAGGTATTGTCAAAAACATTCATTCAATAATAAATTATTCCTAGGTAAATTTCAATTACCAATTGACAAACAGTAAATTTCTTATTAATCAGTAACCAGTAAAAATTAAAGTATTTTTTAAATAATCATTTTCCTCATTTAAATCATGACACGTGACGTCAAGACGAGTGACCTTGATATGGACAAAAATTGGCAGAATAAACCTTAGCGATTTCCCATGTTAATTTACATAAGGATTGTGCTAGAACTTTACTAGCCTGCTTCGGGAATTTCTAATATTATTATTTATTTAGCTAATAATGAATTAATGCGTTACTTTATGGACGCACTGTCAATCTATCACTAACATTAACAGAAAAATTCTAACCTATAATAGTTCTACATGGATTCAATTACAATAATTTTTATTTAATCATAATTCAATGTATTTTTAATAATTTTTAAACGGTAACCAAATAATTTTTTACAATATGTCTACTAATAGTTATGTTAAGCAATCATATAAATGTTTGGTTTTAATGTTGTAAAACTATAGTGACACAAGAAAAGTCGTTATGATATATCATTTATCATCTAATATCCATAGTAATTCTTCCACTGAATATTGAAGTTAGTGATAGGCATAATCGGATTATTTTAAGAATCGGTTACTGGCTATTCGAGGATTTTCATAATCGAATGATCATCGGAATGGGTAATCTGTTGTCACTCATTCTGCTTCGCTTGGTCGCAGGCACGTGGAATGTGGACGCGAGTATACTCGAATTCATCCAAGATTCTGAACATAGAGAAAGGATAATTAATTCTGAGAATTCAGTGTTACCGATTGTACCATAATTAATTATCGAATTTAACCATAATTTGTACCTAAGCAGTTTTCATAATAAGATTTTCTTGGCCCTAGAGCTCTTATTTAAATTATTATTCACACTTTATATTTCATTATAAATCGTTAAAAAATATTAAAATTTTACAATTCCTAACCTATTCAATTGACTAAAGTCCCAAAAGTATCGTTCATCTCCATCTTTTTCTAGCCAATATCAATCGCCAGTCGGACAAGATGTTTCGCACTTTGTATTTGATTTTGAGCGAGGACAACCATTCTGAATCCGAGGACCGATGGTACGATGCGGCGCCAAACTCGATAATCCAGACATCGGGAGCCGAATATTTAACAAAGTACGAATCTTCGGAATATACCGAGGATTTTGATAATCGGAATACCGAGGATTTTGATAATCGGAATACCGAGGATTTTGATAATCGGAATACCGAGGATTTTGATAATCGGAATACCGAGGATTTTGATAATCGGAATACCGAGGATTTTGATAATCGGAATACCGAGGATTTTTAATTGGAATTATCCCATCGCTAATTGAATTGGTTTTTAAATCTTTTCAGATAAATTGTTTCGAACATATTTTACACTTTAACGGTTTTTTTCTGGTGTGAATTTTTTAAGTGACGATTTAAATTACTTTTCCTTGTAAATTGTTTTGAACAAATTTCACACTTGAACGCTTTTATTCCGGTGTGAATTTTTAAGTGACCATCTAAATGACCTTTCTGTGTAAATCGTTTCGAACATATTTCACATTTGAACGGTTTTTCTCCAGTATGAATTCTTAAATGGCTTTTTAAAATGCCTACCTCGGAAAACTGTTTGGAACATATTTTACACTTGAACGGTTTCTGTCCACGGTGAATATTTAAGTGCTTTTTTAAATCACCTTTCCGCATTAACTGTTTTGAACATATTTCACATTTAAACGGTTTTTCTCCGGTGTGAATTTTTAAGTGACCATCTAAATGACTTTTTCGTGTAAATCGTTTCAAACATATTTCACACTTAAACGCTTTTTCTCCGGTGTGAATTTTTAAGTGACCATCTAAATTACTTTTTCGCATAAATCGTTTTAAACATATTTCACACTTGAATAGTTTTTCTCCACTGTGAATATTTAAGTGCTTTTTTAAATCACCTTTCCGGATAAACTGTTTCAAACATATTTCACACTTAAACGCTTTTTCTCCGGAGTGAATTTTTAAGTGCCATTTTAAATTGTACTTCTGTGTAAATTGTTTCGAACATATTTCACAATTGAATGGTTTTTTTCCAATGTGAATTTTTAAATGCCTTTTCAAATTATTTTTATTGCCAAACTGTTTCAAACATAATGCACATCTGAAAAGGTTTTTACTGGTGTGTATTTTCGAATTATTTAAATTTCTTTCGGTTGGCAATGTTTTAAAACAAATTTCACACTGCAACAATTTTTCATTGGAGTAGAATATAATATTTGCTGCAGGTAGATGTTCAGTACCATTTTTATTACACCGACAATGATTATGTTGTCTATATTTTCGCTTATAAACTTCTGTTACTTTCTTCACATAATGAACAACAATAAAATGATACAGAAACTGTGACTTTGTAAGAAAAACCTGGCCGCAATAGAAACAAGTTTCGTAGCATCTTCCAAACTGGGCGTTGAACAGGTTTCTTCTAGGCGACCTGAAAACTAAAACAAAAAGTATATTAATTCTAATGCGGCATTACTGAGGGGCATATACACTGTGTCCCGGATTGGTGCTAAATATATTGCTGTCTCGGCTATTATAAGAGCAGCACAATCGGTTAAATAGGTAATGTTTATTAATATTTTGTTTGTTACCATTTCAAAACTGCTATTACATCTTATCAATCGTTATTGGTTTTTGAAATAAATTCGAAAAACAAAATGGTGCGCGTTTGACAAACCCGCACTCAAAAAAATTTAGTTCGTAATATTGATTAACAGTGACTATTGAATAGTATTTCATTGTAACAACAATTTAATTTCTTATTAGAACCAACTTTTTGACATTGTTTAATGTGTTTGGTTATTGACACAATAATTTAACATTATTTGTGAAAATAACTATAGTGCATTAATTAATAACAGACAATTCGTACAGCCAATAAGGTACTTTCATATATTTGATAAGAATGTTAATTCTGACAACAAAACACGTTATTGAATGAATACATTATAAACAATTAACTTGGTTTATCGTGCCAACGAACAGATTTAAATTATGATAAGGTATGTTTCATTAAAACAACGAACAAAAGTTGTTAATATAAAGATAATAATGATTATTATATTGATGTACAGTATTTGTTATATCAATAAATGCATTAATTAAACTACTAATGCGTTTAATAGCAAGAACGAACGCATTCGTGGTAACAATAAACGCTTTCGTAGATTGATAACCGCAGTTGTTGAGACAATAATTTTGCCGCTTGGAAATTTTGAATGTACCGGCTCTTTGCCGTGTCGTGTTACTACGGAGCTAGCCGATTTCGATCGGGTTTGCCTTTTGCCATTTCGTTTTCGACTGCCAAGGGGTTTGTGCGTGCTTTTATGTGTGTTAAAACTGAATAAGGTAAGTAGATAAATTTTTTCACAGCCGGCTTTATTATTTCATGCTGCAAACAACTTAAATCAAGGTACCTATATTAACATAGTAAGGTAGGTATATTGGCAAATGAAATATTAATTTAATTTGTAAGTAATGTAGGTGTAGGTAAATTGTAAATGGGATTATTACCGCCAAAAGCAGAAAATGTAATTTTCGCTTGCATTTTGAGGTTCAAATTCGAGGTTTTACCTAATATTCTTGTAAAATTTTGAAATAAATCACTACCTACTTATTACCACGTTTATTTACTAATATATTAGTCTCGATATTAAAAGTAGTAACAACATGCTTCCCTACAGGTTAGCCATTATTGAAACATTTTAAAAAACTATTGTAATTTATTTCAAAATATTATGAAATTAAACTACTGGGTGCTTCGTACATATTAAAAATACAATTAATTTTTTTGTGTTAAAGGGGAATGTCCACTTAAAAGTTTTACCCCCCTTATTGGTTAATACTTGAAATATCAAAACCTAATTTTCCTTGTTCAAAAGCTTGAGGCAAGTACTTTTTCATATGTGATTGTCAATTTTTTGTGACCTCTTTTTACTTCCGGTCGTGACCATCGATGGTCACGTTCCGGTTTTTAGGAAAAAAACCGAAAATCGAAAGTTTGGGCCATTTGTTAAATGGCGACCCTCTTTTTTATTTTTAATTTGAAATCACGTTCCATTTTACGTACAAGTACACCTACTCTTATTATTTATCGTCTGTCAAAGTGGCAGATATTTTTAAATTTATAGTTTATGACTATATGACTTAAATGAATTAAAATATCTTAAAATAAAGAAAAATTTTATTTCCATTTCGTGAAAATTTTCTATTTTAAGATATTTAAAGTCATTTAAGTCATAAACTATAAATTCAAAAATATCTTGTCATTTTGACATGAAAAGAAATCTGATAAGGTACTTGTACGTAAAATAGAACAGTGATTTCAAATTTGAAAGAAAAAAGAAGGTCGCCATTTAACAAATGGCCCAAACCTTCGATTTTCGGTTCCTTATTTTTGTAAAAACAGGAAGTAAAAAATGACGTTATAAAAAATTGACAATCGAACAAAGAAGTACTTTTCACCAAAAAAAGGTTTTGATATCTCAAGTAGGTATTAAACAAGTTAAGTGGACCACCCCTGTAGACTAATAATTATTCAAATTAATTCATTTAAACATGTGTATATAGGGACCTATTTTATTATACACATTTGAGGATTCTTATTAACGAAAATCGGCGTCGTGTATATGGTATTTTACAGGAATTCTTTTTCTTTCAGTTTATGTAATCTATTAAGGCAAGCTCATTCGTAAAATGTAAATGTTTCAAAAATGTTATGCTTTTTATGCAAGAAAAAATTCGATAGTTCAAAAATTCTTTTTACACATTTCAAGCGTATTCATGATTTACCTGACGGTATATTTAGGTGTTGTGAGCTGGAATGCAACCAAATTTTTAAAAACTTGGGCAGTTTTAAAAAGCACATAAATCGTAAACATATTAATAGCGCTTTAGAAATTGATTTAATCAATAATTTTAATGATTTTAAAAATCAAATTTCTTTGAATAATTCTTCTAATCATGATTATAATCATACTACTGCAAGCCAAGAAAGACCACTACTTTATAATGAAACAAACTTTAATCAAACGCAAAGAATATCATTGGATAATTCCACACAAGTAACTATTATTAGTAGTAATGAAAACCCTAACTGTGACGTTATTTCTGATACCAAGAATAATGTCTGCTCTCAGGCAAATGATGATAATAATAGCGGTTTCAAAAGTACTAATAATTTAATATCACAATTAGAATTATTAAAGAAAAGGGTACACGACTTAGTCATAGAATTTGTACTAACACTTCACAATAACAGTAAGTTTTCGAGAAAGGATGTTTTGGAAATTCAAGAGTGCACAACAAAATTTTTAATTGATCCTATATTAGACAGTTTAATATGTTTTGGAAAGTGTAATTTTTTTGACAATAGTCTCTTGTACAATAACTTTTTTGGCATGATAACCAGTTTCAGATATCCCTTTGAGCTTTTTTCAACAGATCATTTACTATTCAAAACTTTACATAACAAAGGTTATGTGGATAAAGTGAAAGAGTTTGTCGTTAATGATGAAGTACGTGTAATGCACAAAAAAGGTAGTTTGGTGGCGGATGAAAAAAAAATAACCGGTGTTTTAATGCCTCTCAAGTTTCAGTTTAAAACATTTTTTGAAAAAGATGGGCTGCTTGAGAAAACTTTGAAACACATTGAATATTTGCAGCGACAAACAAAATTAACAAATTTTATTCAGGGTGAGCTGTGGAAAACTAATATGTTAATGTATCCTAATAAAATTTTATTGCCGTACTTTATTTATATTGATGATTTCGAAATCAATAACCCTCTTGGATCACACTCCTCTAAACATTCAATATGCAATACCTATTATTCTTTCCCATGCCTTCCAGTAGATGAATCAAAATTGGAAAACATTTTTCATGGAGCTGTTATAAAATCAACAGATGTAAAAACATTTGGTAATGAAAAATGTTTTCAAAGTTTAATACAGGAATTAAAAGAACTGGAGGTCGATGGAATAGAGATTCAAATAAATGAAAATTTGAATTTACGTATTCATTTTATATTGGGTTTAGTACTGGGCGATAATTTGGGCCTAAACTCATTTTTAGATTTCTCCAAATCATTTTCAGCAAATTTCTTTTGTAGAATGTGTAGGCTGGAAAAAATAGACTGCCAAAAGTTGTGTATTGAAAATACCGAAATGATACGAACAATTTCTAATTACAATTCGGATTTAGCCAGTTCATCTGAAAATAGAGGGATAATTTGTAACTCTCTACTTAACGATGTTCCATCTTTTCATGTGGTTCATAATTACTATGTTGATATAATGCATGATGTTTTCGAAGGTGTATGTCACTACAGCATTTGTCATGCAATCAATTACTTTATCAAAATGAAGTATTTTGATTTAAAAATTCTAAATTCAAGAAGAGAGACTTTTGAATATGGACCTAAAGAAATTGGTAATATGCCTGGAAAAATAGAAATGCATCACCTTAATAGTAAAAAATTAAGAATGTCGGCTAGAGAGATGATGACATTCATAACATACTTTCCTCTTATGGTAGGAGATATGATTCCAGCTGATGATGATGTTTGGAAGTTTCTCATTAATTTAATAGAAATTATAGATATCTTACTGTGTTTTGAAGTAGCAGATTCGGATATTATTTTATTACAAAATAAAATTAAAAAACTTAACCGCGATTACACTGTATTATTTGACGACACGTTAAAGCCCAAATTTCACAATTTGATTCACTATCCAAAGATCATTCGTCAATCTGGACCTCTTCGAAAATTATGGTGTTTTAAATACGAATCTAATCACATCCAATCTAAAATTTACTGTCACGTTATTAATTCTAGAAAGAATATATGTATTACCTTATCCAAAAAATATCAACTAAAATTTACCTACCAAATATTAAAAAATAAATCCACCACAATATTGGATGCGAATAGTAGGCATAAAAGACAGAGTAATTTTAAAAATATTATTCATGAACAGCTACATGTCGCTGTCGATGAAAGTTGTATTCAATTTTATTCTCAATTAAATTACAAAGGGGTCCAGTTTAAATGTGGTGACTATATATCGGTATTAAACAATGATATTCTGATTTATAAAGTTGTAGAAATTATTATACTGAATAACGAGAAAGTATTATTCTTTTCACAAAAATTAATTAATATAACCTATAGGTCTCATTTTCTTGCCCACGAAGTGGATATAAGTAATTTGGGCCAATTTTCATTGATTTCAGTTAATGAATTAATAGGACCCCCACTAGATTTAATAAAAACAGCTAAAGGCATTAACATGATCAAAGTAAAAGAACATTATACTGCAATCGCATTCTAAAACAACATACTTTTTACCATTACAACAAAAACATTTTTAAACATTTCTAAACATTTTTACACGTTTTGAGCTAGCTAGACATCATGTATCAAACTAACGATGAAGAAACTGATGCCACTTACCAAATCGGTCAGAAATTGTCGACATTTCTTGATGATGAAATTATTCTGTCTGAGGTGCTAAACCATACAGCACAACAAAACGAAGTTCTAAAAAACATTGAGCCAACGATGCTGACGGACTTATCCAACTGCCATACGAATAATAATTCAAACCAAAATTTACAGTCGATGACACGGTTGAACGACATTACCCATGCCAATACTAACAAATATTCTCCTAATGAAAATCTCGAATCAATTGAACTGAGGGATTTACTAAAAACATGGAATCTGGAAAGCCTGGCAGATCATTATGAATATCAGATTATCTTCACATATTATTTGTTTCAGGAGAGAATGTTTTTATACCTATTTTAAAAGTAATAAAACGACACCACGTAGAACTACTCATGAAACGGTACGATATGGGTACCTACATCATGTTTGAACACCAACTGGAAAATTGGAGAGACAGTATTGGACTACTGTTAGTGAACCAATGTACCAATAATTTTTCTTCATTCAGCAATATAAGCACTTCGCCATCTAAGTCGCGTATAGTTTCTAGAGAGAGTACACCTACTCGCTTCATGCCCTACGAAAGACCAACTACCCCAGAAGAATACATTTCTTTAGCTGGTATCTTGAATGCAACTCACAAAGGTTTAATGCTTACAGAATACTATACAAAGTTTAATAAGTTTAAAGAGGAGCAGCGTATTCTTCTGGTAGGCTTAATCGCAGGTTATTATGAAGAAAAGTCGCTTCAATTGACCTTAGCATTAAGTCACCGTTTAGAACAGGAAATTTTGGAGCGGTTCCCTACAGAAAAATTGGTAATTATTTTTTATCATGTTTAAACTGTCGCTAATAAATATTTTATTACAGGAATTTTATCGTGTTGCTAAAAGAGGCAAAATTTATAATAAATACTGCAACATGAAATCTACTTTTAAATCAGCTGTATCTGGCCACGTTGTACAATCAAAATCAAAAACCAAAGAAAAGGAAACTCGGCACGAAAAAACTTTTGGTAAGTAATAATAAATGCTAAAGCAGTAACACATTACAACTGATACCTATTATTTTTAGAACCTAAAGACAATGCAGAAAGTTGCATTCGTTGTTTGAAATATGATAATTTGAGTGTTGAGGAATTCGACCAATGTTGGAGGGCATGTTCTAGATATCGCTTGACTCAAATAAATAATCTTGCTTCAACAAAATCTATAATGGAAACATGGCCCTTTAATAAAACTCCTTCAGGATATCGTTTGGTATGTGATTGATTCTAAATAAACAAAGGATAAATTTGGGATAGTTTTAATTTTTTTTTGCAGATTGACATAGACTATAAAATTTCTTTTGATGACAACGATGGCCTTATTTCAAAGTGGGATAATTATTTTGATAAACTTGTTAAGTTTTTATCAAGCGATGGACACATAAAAGATAAGAAAATTAAAACAATGGTAGATAATGTAAGGAAAACTCCTGATTTATCCGAAAGTAAGTATTTTATACATTTCAGTCATATCTCAATACACAGTAGATATGTAAATTTTCTGTTAGGTGTCCGAATAAACTGCGTTTTCTTTCTTTATTAATTACTAAAGTTTATGTATCTCTACCTCACTCTTTTATTAAAATTTGTTATATCACGTTTTCTGATCAAATTCGTATATTCTTTATTATGAAGCACATGTCAAACATATATTTCCTATAGGTACCTAATTGAAATAGTATTATGCGTATTATCTTTAATCCTTACTTTTTTTATGTAACTTAGTTTTAACTTCCCACCTTGCTTTCTACATATTTCTATTTGCTATTGACGACCTTGAATCCGAACAAAATTTATTTTTCAGACGGAAAAAATGCGGCAATTTTTTGGGCGTTACATGGCTACTTCGTTCCAACAAAATTGGTTGTCCTAAAGAAAGATGACAAGAAAACAAACACCAAATATACCATTAAGGACTCTCAAGAATCTTTTGTATTTATAGGAAAATCACAGCAAGAAGTAGAAGACCATCTCCTTCACATAAAGAGCATGAAGATGTCTATTCAGCCGTTCATATGTTGCGTTGGTGAAGATATTTTAAATATTAGCAATATATCTGTATATTTTGATGACATAAGATACAATTTTAAAAATTTTGTTAGAGCAGTTGATATTTGTTACAAAACTATTTATTTATTCGATTTGGAATTTCCTCCAGCATGTCTAACATTTTATAGTTTTATTGAGAGTTTTTTTTATAATTTTAAGTCGAAACATATTACGTCAAAAGTTCATATTTTGTCAGATTACTTAAATAATGTATTAGATCAAGAAAACAGTAATGTTTCAGTTTCTAATGTCTAAAATAAAATATACCTAATACAATTATAATTTTGTTTCTATCCGTCGTTTGAATTCCTGCATTTCTCTAGTGTTGATGTGTACTTTATACTATGTGATTTTGCATAAGATTTCCCTTAGGTTTTTTGTTTCTATGATAATTGATTGTAGTAAACAATATATCACTATATTACGAAAAATCATATGGGAAATCATATAAGGAATCACATAGTGTAAAGTTAATTAAGTTTGACAACAATGTACAAATAAAGGGAGGAGGGGGGTTACAAATTCATTATTAATCAATTAATATTATACATTGAGCTAATAAATCCAATAATTAATAATATAAAATTCGTTCATTGTAGGAATGAACGAAGTTGATTGGATGCATGAAATACTATACGTTGGGATAAATAACGCAGTTATTGACACAACGTACACGCAGTTATTGATACAACGTACACGCAGTTATTGACACAACGTACAGTCTTTATAATATCGACAAATTTAAATTGTCGATCAATTAACGTTGTTGGTGTTTCAATGAACAGTGTTCTTGATATCAATAAAGTGATATTATTATATAAATAATGAAAGTGTTCAATAGTGATAAACGATTGTTCATCAATTCAATAAACATATTACATCGATCTATTACTGTAAATAATGAATTGATGAACATCGATTCGTTGTCTCAATAAAACCAAACATTGGACAAATTTTAAATATCACTTTTGTTGTCTCAATTAACATTTTTATGAATATTACGTCCCTTTTTCGTTGAGTGCGTGTCTTGGTTATTTAATAACATACAGTATTATGGTTTAGACATTCCTTGAATATTTTTTTAGGATCTTTATAATGAAAACAAAGCAAAATAATATACCTTATCGTTTACGAAATTAATAATAAAAATAAAATAGGTAATAGGTAGTAAGCATTTGTAATAATTACATGGAACGCGATATCGCAGTGAAAGGGTAAGTTTTGTGATGTCAATGACGTTGCGTGCAAATGACATTTTTATGTAAGATTAATTTTGAGTTTGCATTTGATTTTATGTTATTAAATATATACTGAAAAGTAGTTATTATAATCACTTTTATTAATGTTAAAGAAAACATGTCAAAAATATTGGAAATTGATCCTTTATACCTTAAACATTAAATTTTTGTTACACGTTTATTCAATAATTATTATATCCCTGGCTTATAAACCTGTCGTTTTATTTTTATAAATTATTTCTTAAAACACAAAATCATTATATTGTACTTATAATCGAAGACTCTTATAAAAGTAAAAAAAACTGTACACAAATATTGAACAAAAAATATCAAAATTCAAACACGAAAAACGAACTGTTTAGATTTCGACATGACAGTTTTTTTGGCTTGTCGGTTGCTTAATTTCGGAATTCATATTATAATCGATTGTTCTTGTCAGATTATATTTTTACATAATATGATGAAGTATTTGAAACAGATACACCAATTACCTAATTAAGCATACCAAATGATTATTTCAGCATCGAAATGAATCGAGTAATCATTTAAATTATAAAATAAAATCTCTACGCAACGATAAAATACTTTTCTCTCCAACCCAAAAATTGCGATGTGAAAAAATTCAATTGACCAGATTCTTTAGGATTAAAATTATTATTATAACGACCGTCAAATATAGTTTACAAGTGAATGCAATATACCTGCAAGTAATGTGAATAGATATTGAAACATTATTCTAAAGTAAAATTTGATGTTTTTGTTAGGGTAAGATGGACCACTGGGTTAGACGGACCATCTCGATAGTTTAGAGATTTGTCACATCAGCGCTGTAGACAGTGTTTACAGTTGTGCTACACCATCAGTTATAGTCGTGTGCAAATCATATGCTCTGTGTCCCAATAGCTGCAACACCTAAACCCAATGGGTCTTTAGAAAACAAAAACCCATCAGCAAATGATCAACTACCTAATGCTTGGATTAATTATTTAATAAATGATGTACTTGCCGTTTCTGGCCCTAGTTCAAGAAGTGATGTAATTTTAGCATCTGATGGATCGGTCAAAGATACTCCCTCAAAGCTATTGGATAAAATTAATCCAGTGCCTTGTGCCAATAAGTTACAAACAATAAAGAGAAAAGCTCAAACTGTAGCAACTGTTTTAAGCTCTCCAGAAAGTATTGATTCCCTGAAAAAGAAAAAAAGAGAAAAATAGTTAAAATTAAAGAAGAGAAAAAAGAAGAAACATAAGATAAATGACAAGCAAGAAAGATAGATTATTCGAAAGAAGAAAATGCAAAAAAAAGAAAGAACTTACACCTTCTTCTAAATCAGAAGATATTGAAATCGATAAAATTTGCAATGATGAACTTTATGAAAGTGGTTTGGACTAAAATGAAAATGAATGTGTTTATTGTGGGGAAATGTACAATGAGACTACCAAAAAAAGACGATTGGATTGAGTGCATAATATGCTCCCGTTGGACTCACTAAGGCTGCACAAGATTTGATAACTGTGTGATCTCTGTGGAAAGAGAATATAAAAATAAATTTTAATTATTAAGTATTTTCTTGTTTTTTAACTTTTTTATACTACCATTAATGTAGCCTACATAAAGTTTCATTTTTATTACTTTGTTTTTTTTTATTTTTTCCCAATTTTAGTTACCAAGATATTCAATTATCCCCTGTAGTCCATCTAACCAGGATATCATCGGGGTAGATGGATCACGTACCAGTTTTAAAAATCATTTTTTGACTCGTAAGTTTTACATGTATCAATAAAATAGGTGAACAATATTATTAAGTAGTCTATAATGATAATTAAATTAAATTTTGAAACATGTAGTTTTAAAAAAGTGATTCATCTATCCCGGATTTACCCTACATTTAATGGCTGCAACCGATCTCGATCACGACACCAACAGTATCAGGTAAATTTCACTTTTATGGATTAAGCGGACTATCGGACCCGACCACCAAATTATTATCCCTTATAAACCTCTCGGATAATGAATATATTTTGGAACGGTGCGGCGTTGAAAGCCGTGCATCGTCTAACGTCGTTTCAGTTCGGCAGACTTCGGCACGGTGTTTGTGTGCGTGCGACTAGACGTATGCGTGTAGACTAGCTGCTAACTGCTCATAACTGATTCTATCTCTTTTAGACACAATTTCGGAAAAATTGAATTTGAAAATGAATAATGATCCACAAGAGTCCACAACAAAATATGGGACCACCATTGACGCGGTATTTTCCAGATATTTAGAGGATATCAAGTCTCAAACTTATGTTTCTTATTTCAGTTACCATAAACCTATAGTTTCAATGATAAAAATTCCAGAATAGCCTACATGTATTGTAAGATAATAAAAATATTTTAAACAATATTAAAATTGTTTTCTTATCGGTCACCACGCTCAAAAAGTGTAACTTGAATTAATATCAAAGAAAAAACTTGAATTAATATCAAAGAAAAAAATACTGCATAAATAAATAATTATAATTGAATAAGTTGATAAAAAATGCTATGCAATAGTTTTACCGCGGCAGTCCCCGAGTGCCACACGTATTTTTTGTTTAGAAAGCGATTAGAAGCAGCTACTTTCTTCCATTCCTTCTTTAACTTCCAAGCCATTGAATATTTTCCATTTTTGACACTGGAGATCGCAGTTGTCTGTAAGACAGAACTATGTCAAGTTAGCGGAAAGAATGAGATTAGTGTTTGTTGTGGAGCTGAATTACAATAAGACTGTTGTTGCTGTATCATATATAAGTTGCTACCCTCACAAATATTGTGGTAACTAGACACGTGACTAAAGTTTTTATCGTACGATTAAGATCTAAATTTAAATAGTTGGTACCACTTTAGTATACATGTTATTGAAATTTTACGCAATTAAATAAATTAATTTATATTAACGTTGAATCTTAAAGGTTACAACAATTTTCTTTTACTTAAATTTGATATAAGTTTGAACTAATCTTCCAATGATAAAGCTAGAGTTAATTCTAACTAGCTTCTTACATAAAAAAGAATATAATTATTGGCACCTCTTTCTATAATGAATTTACAACTGAGAAAACCATATCGACGGTCTCAAATCAATACTTCGTATGTCCAAATTAGGCATTTTAGAGGAGGAAAATTAAACTGCCTTAAATGCTTAATAAAGACAATTATTTTATGAATAATGTTAACAAGTAAATAAATATATGAGTAATCTATGAACGTGGTTATTTTGTTATTTTTAAAATTTTGTTCTAAATTAATCTGTATAGATGGGACAAAGTAAAAAATTCAAAATTTCGGACTTTCGAAGTATTGATTTTAGACCATCGATATGGTCAATGTGCTTATTTCTTTTTACTTTCCTATCTGTATACAGATATAAGGAAAGTATAGGAATCATGATTTTTTTCGACGGATTTTTACGTTTTGAGGTCCCCTGAATCCGTTTTGACTATTTTCGCGATGATGTCTGTGTGTGTGTGTGTGTCTGTATAACGCATAACTCATGAACCGATACACGGAAAAACACCAAATTTCAAACTTAAGCTTTGTTCCAACGTCTAATGAGCTGATTAGATTTTGGGCAGAGTCGGAACATCTGGGGGGGTACTTTATAGGTGGTCATTTTTATATTTTATGGAATATATCTGTTATTTACGTTTGGGGAAGAAAATTCTTTAAATGAAAGTTACTTCTTATTTTATTATCTATAATTTTTGTTATATACAAAATTTTCCTAAAATGGTCCGTATTCGCGAAATTTGACAAAATGTAAAAAAATATTTTTTTTTATAAAAATTGTTCAAACAAAAGTTGTTTGTAATATAATTCTCTATAATTTTTATCCTATAGATAATTTCTCTAAAATGGACCGTATTCGAGATATTTGAGAAAATGTGTAAATTTCGAAATTTGAAGAAAACTCAAAAATGGGTAAAGAAAAAAACATTAAATTTTAAACTTAAGTTTTATTTCGGCCTGACGTGAAATGATTAGATTTTGGACAAAGTCGGAACATCTGGGGGGGTACTTTATGGGAGGCCGTTTTTATATTTTATGGAATATATCTGTTATTTATGTTTGAAGAAAAAAATTGTTCAATTAAAAGTTACTTCTAATATTATTATCTATAATTTTTGCTTTATGTAAAAATTTCCTGAAATGGTCCGTATTCGAAAAATTTGACAAAATGTGCAAAATTCTGATTTTTATGAAAATTGTTGAAATAAAAGTTGTTTGCGATATCGATCTCTATAATATTTGTTTATACATGATTTTTTAAAATGGACCGTAATGGAAAAATTGTAGGAAAAGTGCTAAATTTAAATTTTTCAGTATTTTCATTTTCAATGAATATCTATAGAAAAATGTTTCGCGGTAGATGTATGTGGACAATGTATATATTTAGTTTATCCTCTAAACATTTATAGAGATGCTGCAATAGGTTGTACAAAATAACCGGAAAAGGCCTGTAATACCTAGATAGGAAAGTCATGTGTTGGACACATCAGATTTTTTTGATTTGACTAAAGGTAAGTAATGTTTGGTGTTTTCAGAAATAACGAATTTTATTTAAAATTAACGTATTTTATTAAAAATTAACGCAATTATATTACAAAGTAATGCAGATGTATTGCAACATATATGACATGTGAACGGTTTTTCTCCTGTATGAGTTATTGAATGTTTTCCATTTGTCTTTCTGTGTACTTTTTCCAACATATTTCACACTTGAACGATTTTATTCACTAATATTTAGGTACTTTTTAAATCGCGTTTTCAGATAAATTGTTTCGAATAATTTAACACTTGAACGCTTTTTCACCTGTGTGAATTTTTAAGTGCCCTTTTAAATTGTACTTCAGTGCAAATTGTTTCGAACATATTTCACACTTAAACGGTTTTTCTCCGCTGTGAATATTCAAGTGCTTTTTTAAATCAAATTTCCGGATAAACTGTTTCAGACATATTTCACATTTAAACGTTTTTTCTCCAGTGTGAATTTTTAAGTGTTCACTTAAATAAGTTTTTCGTGTAAATCGTTTCGAACATATTTTACACTTGAACGCTTTTTCTCCTGTGTGAATTTTTAAGTGCCATTTTAAATAGTACTTCTGTGCAAATTGTTTCGAACATATTTCACACTTGAACGGTTTTACTCCACTGTGAATATTTAAGTGCTTTTTTAAATCAGCTTTCCGGATAAACTGTTTCAAACATATTTTACATTTGAACTCTTTTTCTCCAGTGTGAATTTTTAAGTGTTCATCTAAATGACTTTTCCGTGTTAATTTTTTTGAACATATTTCACACCTGAACTGTTTTTCTCCGGTGTGAATATTATAGTGCTTTTTTAAATCACCTTTCCGGATAAACTGTTTCGAACATATTTCACACTTAAAAGCTCTCTCTCCAGTGTGATTTTGTAAATGACCATCTAAATGACCTTTCTGTGTAAATCGTTTCGAACATATTTCACACGTGAACGGTTTTTCTCCACTGTGAATATTAATGTGTTTTTTTAAATTACCTTTCCGAATAAACTGTTTCAAACATATGTCACACTTGAACGGTTTTTCTACACTATGAATATTTAGATGCTTTTTTAAAACACCTTTCCGCATGAACTGTTTCGAACATATTTCACACTTGAACGCTTTTTCTCCGGTGTGAATTTTTAGGTGCCATTTTAAATTGTATTTCTGTGCAAATTGTTTCGAACATATTTTACATTTAAATTGTTTTGTTCCAATGTGAGTTTTTAAACACATTTTCAAATTATTTTTATTGTCAAACTGTTTCAAACATAATGCACATTTGCAAAAATTTTTACTAGTGTGTATTTTCGAATGATTATTTAAAATTCTTTTAGTTGGAAATGTTTTAGAATAAATTTCATTCTGCAACAGTTTTTTATTGCAGTAGAATATAGTCTTTGCTGCAGGTGGATGTCCGATTATGGGATGGAAATCATTTTTACACTGACAATATTTATGTTGTCCATATTTTCGCTTACAAACTCCTGTTACTTTCTTCACATAATGAACAACAATAAAATGATACAGGAACTGTGACTTTGTAAAAAAAAACTGGCCGCAATAGAAACAAGTTTCGTAGCATCTTCCAAAGTGGGCGTTGAACAGATTTTTTATAGGCGACCTGAAAACTAAAACGAAAAGTATATTAATTTTAATGCTATTAA